TCACTTTGTGAAAGTCTGTAAAATATTGTAAAGTTATTTCAATTTTTCAATAAAGACAAGCCATCGTGGCATGATTGCGGGTTAAAAAAAAAAAAAAAAAAAAAAAATGCTTGAGTATATTTTGTATCAAGTAGTTTATTGATACATGCTACCAATCTTTATATTTAATTTAACAGATTGATTTTCTTAGATGTATCACCTTTCTAAGCAAACCTTTTGCATAGTGTAAAATGGATCACATGATTGAAATACGTGTTGCGTTTGAGGTGTTCTCGAGGATTTCCATTTATTATAAAGAATCGTATCCGCAATGATGCCGATTTATCCGAGATTCTTATGTGTTCTATGATTTCAGGGTTTGCACCTGTTGGTAAGTGTGTAAAGACAAAAATTACGTCCACAATGAATAAACCATAATAAGAGAGACAGAGACGAATTTATGGTCCTATAAATTCATGAGCCACGTGCTACGTGAAACAGACTTTTTTTTTTTTGAAGAGTTGGGATGTAATTTTAGCCACAATTTAACTAGAGCGATATGCCATATCATCGTCTCAAAGGTAATGTTTTTAACATGAATGAAAAATAAACGGCCCTTACATTCTTTACTCTGTTCTGCAATTCAAAGATCTCATTAAGGCCATTCGTGCCTGTAAAACCGCCGCCGATGAGAGAGCTGTCATCCAGAAGGAGTCAGCTGCGATTCGTACCATTTTCAAAGAAGAGAATAATGATGCTCGGCATTCGAATGTGGCCAAACTACTCTATATACACATGCTGGGCTATCCGGCTCACTTTGGTCAAATTGAATGCCTAAAATTAGTAGCGTCTAATAGATTTGCTGATAAAAGGCTTGGATATTTGGGAATTATGCTCTTGTTGGATGAAAACCAGGAGGTTTTGACATTGGTAACGAATTGTTTAAGAAAGTATCCTTTTTATCTCTATAGACCGGGTTCATTGGAACACGTGTGACCTGATTGTTTCCTTGACGTGAATCTCACGTCAGTGATATGAACCATTCCAACATGTATATTGTTGGTCTGGCACTATGTACCTTGGGGAATATATCTTCTCCCGAGATGTCTGGCGATCTGTGTGCGGAAGTCGAAAAAAACTTGGGTAGTTCAAATACATACATACGAAAGAAGGTTAGCCTGTTTTGCCTTTATTATTCTGCGCGGTCCATTATTGATTCATTAATATATATATATTTATTAACATTAATAAAAAGGCCGCGTTGTGTGCAATGCGAATAATTCGGAAAGTTCCTGAATTACAAGAAAACTTTCTGAGTAGAGCAAAGTCGCTTTTAAGTGATCGAAATCATGGAGTGTTGTTAACGGCAACTACACTTATAACCGAGATGTGTTTGATAAATTCGGAAACGCTACAAACATTTCGCAAGGTTAATTCAAAATCGATTTTATTTCATGGTCCGCTCATGTCATTTTTAATGATCGAGCTTTTATTCACAGGCCGTACCATTGCTGGTTAGACATTTGAAAAGCTTGGTTTCAGCGGGGTTCTCGCCTGAGCACGATGTCACAGGTGTAACGGATCCATTCTTGCAAGTGAAAATATTGAGGTTGTTGCGGATCTTAGGTAAAGGGGATGCAGAAGCGAGTGAAGCGATGAATGACATCTTGGCACAGGTTAGTAAATAAGTTGTAAACAGTTGTCGTGGTACTTTCGTCTGATATGTCGGAATATTCCTGGCGTGTAGGTTGCCATGAACACTGAATCTTCAAAAAATGTTGGGAACTCGATCTTATATGAAACCGTGCAAACCATCATGGAAATCCAATCGGAAAGTGGTCTTCGAGTTCTGGCCATAAACATACTGGGCAAATTTTTAACGAACAGAGATAACAACATTAGGTAACAAGGATTTCTTCTAATCAAAATTTTTAATTTAACTTCACACAATATCTCATTCGGTTCAAATATTGTCAATAGATATGTTGCATTGACTACATTAAATAAAACTGTGTTAATAGACACAAACGCGGTTCAACGCCACAGAAATATCATACTTGATTGTCTGCGAGATGGAGACATTTCTATTCGTCGGCGTGCGCTGGAGCTCTCATTTGCATTAATTAATGCTTCAAATGTTAGGGTGTTGACACGTGAATTGTTGGCATTTTTGGAAGTCGCCGATAACGAGTTTAAACAAGGAATGACGACAAAAATATGCTTAGCCGCTGACAGGTAATTTTAAGTATCGAATGTTATTACCACTTCGTCAACCCTCGGTCCTGAAAACAAATTTAATTCATGATTTCACCATAGATTTGCTCCCAATAAACGATGGCATATAGATACAGTATTGCGCGTTTTGAAACTGGTAGGTTAGAATGTGTATATTTGGTTTATCAAAAAGAATATATATATCTTTTTTTCCTACGAATCGATCCGTCGAACATTTTTTATTAGGCCGGTAATTATGTTCGCGAAGAGATATTATCAAACTTCATTCGTCTAGTCGCTCAAACTCCCGAGTTAAATGCTTACACGGTACAAAAATTATACGCCGCCTTAAAGGCAGATATCTCTCAGGTATCTATAATAAAATATCATGCTCTCGCGCGATCAAAAATCGTTTCAATGAGTACTTTTGTCCTGATTCTTTTTTTTTTTAATTCGTAGGAATCGTTGACACTGGCTGGGATATGGGTAATTGGAGAATATGGTGATATATTAATAAAAGGTGGTAGTTTTGAAGAGGAGGAGCTCGTCAAAGAAGTAGGTGGAAAAAGAAGTTCTTTTTACCATTAACAAATAAACTAGTTAATGAGAGAAATTTTTTAGGTCACAGAGCAAGATGTCATCGACCTTCTGGATTCTATTCTCGTTGGGCCTTATGCCAACCAGTTGACTCGAGAATATATCCTTACTGCACTCATGAAACTGACATCACGTTTCACATCGATGCCCGTAATTCAACATATCCAAGCTACCCTTGAAAAGTACAATACTAGCATTGAAGTGGAAATACAACAACGTGCGGTTGAATATAGTAACTTGTTTAAGTTTGAGAACATACGACCCGGGATTCTGGAAAGGATGCCAGTCCCGGAGGTCAAAGAAGAACAGAACCGTTCGCAAAGTATGATATATCATATATTACTATCTAATTAATTTATCATGATGACCGGACATTGACTGAATCTTGATTTTAACTTTATTTCATAGCCGAAGATGGTTCTCTTTTGGAAGAGTTTAATGCGGCCACAACTTCGAAGAATGATGGCATCGATGTAAATCATTTCCCGGGAAAGATTGTTGTTTTGCGTCCTAAAAGATATTCTGTTGACTTCTCAATATTCTCCATTTAAAGACGCTTTTAGATTTTGGGGGCGATGATAATGCCACTCAATCTAAAACGCCTGTTGTCTCAGAGACTCCTCAAACCACTGTCGACATCTTGGCTGATATTTTTGGCGGTGGACCCGTGACAAATCCCGCTGCGACCGAGGTCACACCGCCGATCGCGAATAATGACGTTATGAGTATTTTTAATCCTACGCCGAGTGTACAAAATCCGCCTACACAGAGCATGCAACCAACAAATATTCTGGATAATTCGGGCTTGCTTGGAATTGGGGCGGGACAACCGATGGCCCCCATATCCTCGAGTTTTGATATGTTTTCATCGGCACCACCTGAACCAGGTAAGAACTCGAGTCTCGTAACCCTTGCGTTATTACGAATGATTGCTCAGGACATCAACCTTATCTCAAATATTTGAATTATTAGAAAAATATATTGCATATAACAAGAATGGTTTTAAGATTAGTTTAGATCCGTCCAGAGATCCAAGCAATCCCAGAATTATCAATATCAATGTTACATTTCATAACGTTTCAGTGGGAGCCGTCGTGCAAAATCTGTTGTTCCAGGCGGCTGTTCTGAAGGTCTGTGGAAAGTTATTGCGAACGTTCGGTCGCGCGCATCTTATTAATCTTTATGGCTTGATATTTTAGACACAAAAATTGCAGATGCAATCACCGTCGTCGACTACCATTGCTCCCGGGGAAACAAGTCAACAAATAATTCGAATTGCCAATCCTCAAAAAGTGCGTCTTTAATTTCATCAATTATCAAGTAAACTTCCTCCTAACAGCGGCAATTGATTCACCTTTTTTTGTTTTTTGAAATATAACCATCGTTACAGTTAAACATTAGGTTGCGTCTGAGAATTTTGTTTACAACGTCAGCGGGTGCGAAAGTGGATGAGGTGTTTGATTTTAGCGGGTTTCCACAAGAGTGTTGGTGATAATAATAGTAATAATAATAATAATAATAATAATAATAGATAAGCCACCATTATCTTATTGATTCTTTTTATTTGGTTTTGTATTACTTATTTACTGTTGCTGATTTAGGTCTAAAAAATTTGTACATTTTGTGTAAACTGTTTTTCGGAACTTTGCAAGAATCCAAACAAAATAATTAGACAGAAAATTTTGAATAAATGCACACTGCACGAGGAATAATTAACATTAACACTACCTAACAGATCATATTGTATGTGCACTATATATATTTGTTTTTTTCTTTTGTTGACACTATTTTTACATAGATATATACTGTATATATATTATGGTTAACTTCCCATAAGAAAAACAAAAAGCTAACTTTTAAAAATTATTTAAAGTGAAATTATAACGTACAAAATATGCTATATTATACATCTTTTCAATTAGAAATTCTAAGGTGCGTTGAATTAAGGTAATTTGTTATATAGAGATATAATCATCTTTAAAATTTAAATTATTATGCTCCCCAAGTGTTTCCTTTGAAAGTTTGCGACTGAATCTCCTCGTCTCAGTTGATTCACTGCTGTCACTGACACCTTTGTTACCAAAATCGAGATCCTCATCCAAGAGCGTGGACGTTGATGAAAAACTAGATTTTCGGCGCATCGGAACATTATCCGAGAAGTAGTTATTAATGATATTTGAAGGTGAAGTTGGCGATACCGGTGATGCAGGAGAAGTTGGATCTCGAGGTGACCTTGAAGAATTAGATGACAGGCGTCGTAGTTTGTATTGTTGTGAACGTTGTGATGCGAAAGATTCGCGCCTGTTATTTTGTGAATATGATGAATTGCGTCTGCTGCTATACGACGAGCGTGTCGAGTGACGCTTCCTTTGATTCGACTGTTGAGATGAAGTTTTGGAAATTTTTGGAAGACCGGCGAGCTCACGAACGAGATTCATTTGACTTAAAATGAATTTCCATAATAAAAACCACGCTGATTTTTGAAATAGAGGAGAGAATGAGCAATTGTAAAGCATTTTGGCAAGAAACATGAATACGCAACTTACCTATTGCAATGAAAAAGCCCACCGTTAAAATCGCGACCGTAAGGTCGACTAGTATTTTAAGGGTTTCCATGATATTACGAGTATTACACATGGATCAATCGACAACGTTCAATGGGAAAAAAAACTGGTAAACGATGAAAATAAAAAAGTTGTGGTTTATATATTGTTATCCGATTCCAAATTTGGAAAGTCAGCTGGCGCGCAAATGACAGAAAATGAGGAAATACGTCCGTGCGCAGCAATATTAGTTAAATAATGAAACGCTGCATCTAATTTGCTGATCATGTGGAATTGCGGAGTTTATGATGTAATAGTGTAATAATGCCCTTGGTAAAATAAACTACGCTACACATATATTTTAAATTGTGCTAACATACATGCTCTCTTAGTTTATCTTTTTCAACCTTTCATCTCTTTTATATAAGCCGCTCTTCAAAATCTCAAGCTTTTGCTTCTTGGCTTCGTCCCATCCGCGTTCCACATAATACCGAAAATCCTCGCCCGGCATTCGGATCTTCAAGTGCAAATGTTCAACATTTCTACAGTTCCCGTGATTCAGAATCATTTTAGTAAACCTCACATCCCTCCATGGTGCTTTCGAAGCTCTCACCTCTTCATAAAGGACTTGAACGGCGAGAGAAAACATCGAGAACACTTCTTCATCTGTGCATCCAGATAACCTCTCGACATGACGAACAGGGGTTATAACAAACATCGGTCTTGCTTTAGCGTCAATCCAGATATTATGAAGTTTAGTGGTGGTTTCCCTGGCGGTTGGCGGATAATTTATCCTTGAAATCTTATTTGTTTCAGATTTAACGTCACACGAAATACAATTTAGCGTCTTTATTGGCGGTTTTCTCGACTCATCAGCATCAACGATTCCTACATAAAACCTATCAATGCTTTGTACAATGGAAAGACTGAAATGTTCCATTCCTTTAACAGATTCTATGGTATTTGTAATATTTCGAAAGAATGATACAACTCGATTAAATATTACTCCATCGTCTTGAGAGGGGTCATAACTAGGCCCACCAACAAAATCGATTAATTTACAAGGAGTATCAGGAAAAAATTTATGACTGTATGCTACTGAATAATCTTTTCTCCCTTGACCATGTTGGTGGCTATTATGCTTACGACCGTATTGCTGCAAAGGCTTAGTGGATTTGGTGGCGGTTGTTGGATTTTTAGTAAAAAATGTTGATCTTTTGACGTCTGGTTCCCCAGACCATTGACTATTACCAGCCATGGGAAAGGATAAAGAAAGTGACAAAGAAGAAAGTAAACGAGTTGAACTTGCGAATCATATCACTTATATCTGTAGCCAATCAAACCTATCATGGGATAATCATCCTTTGTTTCCAAAAAAGAATTTTTTGCTTCGCTAAACATTTTCCGCACCTCAACCGTGACCCTGCTCAATTATTAAACTTTACAAGTAACTCCTGTCGTGTTCTCACTTGAACGCTGGCAGTTACCAAAATACTAGATTCATTTATGACGGGACAAAACATATTTATGGAAAGAGTAAATCTGCGTAGTAATACCGAATTTGCTTGCAGTATTCGTAGTACCAAGTAGAAAAGCCTCGGTAGAAATCCTTTTCTCTCCAAGTCAATTAATCAAGATGTCCTATAGGATGCCAAGTGTCCTTTAAAGTGAGATGATGAGAAAGAGGAATATTTACTGTTAAATGCAAACAAAGTGAAATTAATCCGAAAACTTGTTTGGCATTTTCCTTTTTTTTTTCCAAATCGACAAACGAAAAAAAAAATTATTTCTTCTTTTCTCCACTATTGAATTCAACAAAGTTACGGCATATTTACAGTGCATATGCAGTAAACGATAGAAGGATCTTGAATAATGAAATAGTATATTTGCACAAAGATTTATTTTGATTATAGCTATTGTTGTATATTCTTTGCCTAAGGTTTCGAGGATAGGATTCCGAAAGACAATTCTACAAAGAATATTTGGCACGTGACAAGTTCTTGTAACGAAAATTTATACATTCAAGCTTTGCATAACACAAGTTTCGTGCAACCCGAATTCAATTTTATAGATGATACTGTACTATCTATCGGTTGCATTTTTTAAAATAGAAGCAACGATCGAAAACTGATTTCAAAAACTTTAGCAAAGTTGCACAAGATTCACTCATATAGCATATAAAAAATAAAAAACTTTTTAGAAAAAAAAAAAGTTTAAAAAAATTATTACAAGGTTATAAATAGAAATCAATATAGATTAAATTAAATCGAATTGTAATAAAATAATTTTTTTATTAACTGATTCGTTTTTTTAAAAGTTAATACTTTTATAGTTTTCTAAGGAAATTTATTTACTTTAGTTTGATTTTGGATTTTTGAATTACACAATTTTTATTGATCAATATAAAATATATTGATTTTGCTTTTGTAAATATAAATAAATTAAAAAGAACAATTCAATAAAAATTATCTTTCTAATTTTTAACCTTTACAAAAACTATCAAATAAGTTCTTTAATATTTTGAATAAAAAATTAAATAAATATTGGTTTTTTAGGATATTAATACTTTTATAAATATAAAACTTTTTAAGAAAAAAAAAGGTAATTATGAAAGTTAAATTATAGTAAAATCAAGAAACTTAGTATCAACTTTTTTAATTTTTAATTAAATCAGTAAAAATAATACTTTTTTTGGATATTAAAAATTTTTTTATAAAATAATAATTTCAACTAATAAATCAATTAAAATTTATAAACTAAAAAAATATCAAAAAACTTATAATAATCGATAAAAATATAATAAAATGATTTTATTTTATATATAAATATCAAAATATATACTGTAATATAAATATGTCCACAAAAGTAATATATAAATACAATAATACTTAATTTATTTTTTAAAAAACTTATTTATAAAAAATTAATATATCAAAATAATAATAAAGCAATATTTCTCCAATTGGGTTAAACTATAGATCAAGTACCATGAGGTTAATAAGATATAAGCAACAAATCCCCAAGTGATAAAAAAGTTGCTATTTGTTCAAGCTAAGATCTTTCTCTCCTATCATTCCGATCAGACAAAGTTCAAGATCAAGATCTCCTTTTTATTCTGATCAAGCAATAAAACTGAACAGTCTCTAGTTCATGCTAAGCTTCAACCCTTTGGTTATAATTGAAAATGCATTTCCCAGAAGTTGTTGAAGGATATCACAATCGATGAGGATCCCCACTATTCTTCTAATATTCTCTCACCATTGTAAAGCAAAAAGATATTTGGAGAATGATTATTTTGGACAATGGAAAATATATACCAGTAAAATTCCTTTAACTAGGTGTGGTTGCTAGAAGATATCATACTAAAACAATATGATCCAGTTTCTACTAGATTATATAAGAACCTAGGATCCACTATAAGTTATCCGTCTACTACAGATAGATAAAAAATCACTGCCCAAAGAAGGTTGGAACAAAGTGTATCCTAGAAATAAAGGCTTTCACTAGATGATAAATCTCCTCAGATAATACATGAAAAGAAAATCAAGATCAAGAATGAATAAGTTCCTCAAATGGTTAGGGAAAAAAAGATATCCCAATTGAACATTTCTTATTGAGAAGAGGTCTTGAGAAGCAGGTCTTTAGAGGAAGCTTGAAATATTTTTTTTTCAATTTTTACCTTTTCATTTTCTTGTTGTCTGCTTAGACATTTTTAGATATCCTCATACTTTTTTTCAATCCATCCTTTTGTAGTTTCCTGTATTCCAGTGGCTTGATTTGACATACAGCAGTGACAATCTGCTGGCAATAATGCAGTGAACTAGAAGGGTCTTTACTTAAAGACACTATAGAACAAAATATTGTTACCAAGACTGAATGTAAAGGCTATTATGCTTATAACAAGTTAGTTAGATTAGAATAATAGTTTAGCTGTAATATGTATCATGCTGCTTGAATGAAAATGTACTTATGTTTTTAATTGATTAATAAACTCACAATTTAGCTTGACTATGGATATACAAAAAAAAAATAATAATAATAAAGCAATATAAGATAAAAATGAATAAAACAAATATATCAAGGCAATCAATATTAATATATATCATAAATTAAAATCCCAATAATATATATTTTTAATTTATAATTATAAAAAAACTCTTTTTGCTAATTCTTTGATCACATATAAAAAAGATATTTATAAGAAGTTTTTTCACTTTTGTGTTAATAAAATCTTAATACTTTCCATAAAACAATTTGAAATCTGACTTCAAGAGTTATCTTTATCTTTTTTCTATTATTTATAAGCCTCTTTATTCAAAAACTTAACTTCTAGTAACCAAAAAAAATCAAGTAATACCTTTAATACCAATGGTAAGAAAGTTTTCAAAGGAAGAAGAACTGACTGTAAAGTACTTAAAAACTCTTCTAACCTTTAAAGCAAAAGGTTTATAGTGATTTTGTTACAGTTAAAAAACATACTTTCTTCTTTTAAATTGTTTTGATCTTCTTAAAGTTTTCAATTTTATGATTTTCTAGAATATTTTATTTATCTCAGTTTAATCCTAAATTTTTAATAGTATAAATTCTTATTAAATATGATTGACTAACATGAAACACATTAGTAATGATCACAATGGATCAAATGAAATCAAATTTTAACTAGATTCAATTTGATCCAGTTTTTATAAATATGAATCAGATATATGAATCTGATCTATTTTAAACTGATCTGATCTGATTCAAAATCATAATAGTTTGATTTGATCTGATTCGAATTTGAATCTGGTTTAATTCAATTTGATGCAAAAATAATTTGAAACTGATTTGATATATTTTGAACCTGTTTTAAACCATAACTATTTTGATTTAACTAAAATAAATTAGCTATGTTTAAATTAACCTGACTTTATTTTAATAAAAAAAATTTTAACTTGTATATTTCCTTTTGGAAATATTTTTTAACTTTAAATTTAAAAATTTTTCTTTTATTAAATTTAAATAAATTCATTTATTCAATCCACGATTATTCATTTGCTTCTATATTAATATACTTCTCACTATAACCAGTACTTTCTAAAATAACTTGATTTTTTATATTATTTTTTTTTTATTTTTTATTATCAATGTTTCAAGTATTTGCAAAGTATGTTGATCTGTCAATAATTATTTATATCAGTAATTCATATGATATGCTTCTTCTTTATCTTTTCTCTATTTTTTTATAGCTAATACGATTTTTTTGGTCAAATTTTTGAACAACCCACAAGTTATACCTTCCATTAGTAATACTGTAATATCATGCAATTCATTCCTCAGCCAGCAATAAAGAATATTTTCTAGTAAAAATTGTAACAATTTTAATTTGTTAATAACTAAATTTTTATTAATTTGTAATGTTTAAAAAATACCTATTATTTTAACTTTAATTCCCCATTTAATCATGTAAAAGTTGCCTTCATCAAAATCCCATTCACTGTAGATAAATTCTTTATTGTTAGCAGATTATATTTCTCTCAAGCAAGTAGCCACAATTGCATAGTTCAAAAATTTGAGGTCAGTATAGGCAAATTTGCTATATCTTTAAGTTATATAGGTCTTATATAAACCTAAAAAATGGTTTAAATATATTTTTTTATTATCAAAAGAAACTGTAATTCCTTTGGCAGTAATACCATATTTATTGCTATTTAGTCGGGATAAATCATATCTTTTATTTTTTTTTGTATACTTGAGATCATATCTTCAGGAAATATATGTATGGTATAGTTGAAAAGAAAGTTGTTCATCACTACAACTTTTCCTTCTTGTAAATATTGCCTTTCAGATCCTTGTAATTCAACAGATATGTTATATATATAAATAAAAATTCCACTTTCTCTTGTCAAAAGATACCTGCAAACATTAACATTAATAAAGTTTTAAAAATTAAAAACTTAAGTTTA